CGGCGGGCACTGTGCCCACAGCTGGCTCTGCGTCCCCGGGCAGTGCTGTTGCAACCAGGGCTGATGCAAGCCCCTGCTCCCCCACCCCCAGCAGCATCCACGGGAGGCCCCAACACCCTGGCTCCATGGCCCAGGGCTGGGCCCCCTTCAGGAACAGCAGCAGGGGCTGGTGACTGGACCCCACTGGCCAGCCCCCCTCTGGAGGGCAGGTGGTCCTTTGTGGACAAGCTGGCTGGTGGCTTTCGTGACTGCCCTCGCCTGCTGGCCCCTGTCCCCTGGGCAGGATGGGCTGCAGGGCCTTGTGCAGGTGGCAGTGAGGCCTTGGGAAGTGCCACCCTGCTCTGGGGTTCACCCCTGAGGCCTCAGCACCTGCCTTCCCACTTCGTAGAATGGGAGCACTTACCCTTCAGGACCAGCTCCAGCAGATGCCTCCTCCCTCCCCCATCCTGAGTGCCCTCTGCCTTGCCGCTGCCTCTCTGGAGCCCCACTCCACTCTGGGCTCGCTGCCTTGACTGCCCAGAGGGGGGCTATGAGGGCATCAAACCTGGCCTACAGTGGTTTGTAGACCCGCCTGCGAGGGCCAGCCTGGGCCATGTGGGCACCTTCCCTGCTCCTGTAGGGCCTCGCAGCACCCAGCAGAGGGGCAAGGGGCTGTTCCCCAGGCTCCACGATGGGGAAGGCCAAAAGACACTGCCCCTTCACTGCCCCTTCCCCTGTGCCATCTGGCCTGGGATGGCAAACAACTTCCCAAGGAGAAAGCTCGGCCCCCTGGGCGGCTGGAGGTGAGAGCTTGTGCATGGGTTGTGGTGCCACCAACACCGGCTTGGCTTTCCAGGCCTGTCCTCCAGCTGGGGTGCCACAGTTTCTCCCATGGCTCTCCTGACCCGGCGGCCACTCTGTGGCTGGGTGGGCAAGGGTGGCAGGAGAGTAGCTGGCAGGGGTGTGTGGGGCTCTGGGGTCAAGGGGGTCATGAGGAGACCTGGGTAGTGGGCAACAGGGTCCAGGGATGCCAAGCTGGAGGCAGCCCCTCCAAAACCATCTGGTCCAGAGAGAGGTGGGCACAGCTTCCGCAGGGACTCTGGCCTCAGGCCACCAGCACTACCCTATCCTGTACCTTGGACCCACAGGGTGGGTGGGGGCTGTGCCCATGTGCCCATGTGATGCACCAGCCTCTCCAGTCAGCCCCGTTTGTGAGCCAAACAGTCCCTGTGCAGGACCCTGATGGTGCCCTGGAGTCATTTAAACAACCCATGCTGTAGAAAGGGCAGTGTCCAGCCCTGCAGCCCTGGACAGCCACCATATCCCCATCAGGGAGGAGCCCAACTGTGCAGACAGCTCGAGGGGCCGGTGTCAAGGAGAGGAGGATGAACAGAAAGAGGGATCAGTGTGAGGCCACCCTGTGGGCTGGGACCATGTGCCCACTCTGCCCTCACTTGCCAGGTGGGGGCCCCTGCATGCACCCAGCCCCTGCTGTGGGGGGCAGCAAGAGTCCCAGGGTGCATGCGTGGGTGTGGGTGGAGTGAGTGCCTGGGTGCGGGTGGAGCGAGTGCCTGGGTGCGGGTGGAGCGAGTGCCTGGGTGCGGGTGGAGCGAGTGCCTGGGTGTGGGTGGAGTGCTCAGAGAGGACAAGAGAGCCGCCTCTCAGGTGATGGGGAGGGGTGCTGTACATAGCAGGCGCCTCCTTGGTGGGCCCAAAGAGCGATGGCTGGGCTGTGGGCTCTGAGAAGCTCTGCCTGCTTCCTGGAACGCCATTTCCTCTTTCTCAGGCTGTTTCCCTATCAGTCAACCTGGCGGCTGTGCACCCCTCATCTCCCCACGAATGGCTCTGCTACCTCAGGTTTCATGCGTGGGAGCCGGGTCCACGTGCGGCCTGGGGGCCGAGCTCAGTGGTCAGGATCACTGGATCACGCACCCACCAGCAGGGTGCCTCCACCCAGCCTCACCTCTGCAGCCCACCTCTGGACACGGTGGTCTACATTTGTCTGACCTTTGGGTTCCGAAACCCTGTCTTGCACCCAGGAGGCCAGGGGATGACAGGACTGGGTGAAGACCGTCACTTCGCTCCTTGACCACTGAGCTCTTCCTGGTCTCTCACCCTGTCTGCCCAGGCCCTACCGGGAGCTCAGTGGCCACTGTCCCTGCGAGCTTTGAGAGGGGAGGTTGTGGGGCACCTGCACAGGCTGGCCCACCTGTTGCTCCAGCCACACCCCAGAGGGGGGGCGATCTCCACCATAAGCAGGGACCTCTGGGGCTCTGGGGTGCGCGGTGTGTCAGGTCACTCGGTTTCCTGCAAAGCTGGGCTCAGACACTGGAGACAAAGCCAGGGTTGTGCCCCGACCCAAGGTGCCTGCCGAGCCAAGGCAGGGCGCACACGACACCACAGGTAGGGCTGTGGCCATCTGCGGGCGTCCGGACCCTGAGCTTAGTGCCACCCCGCCGGCAGGTGAGGACACAGAAGCCTGCGTGGGCCAGCGCCTCACCCAGCTGCGCCCGTGCGGATCCCCGCCACGAGCTCCTCCCGCCTCTCTAAGGACCACCGCGGCCGCCTACCTGTGCAAGCTGAGCGCGCAGCGCCGCGAGCTCCCCCTGCAGACGCAACCGCTGGGTGCGCAGTGCCGCCGTCTGCCCCTGCAGGACGCGCCTCTCTGCCTGCGCCTCGGCCGCCTCCTGCCCCCCGCTGAGCTGCTGTGGCCGCCAGAGCACCTGGGCCGGAGATGCTGGGCCTGGGCCAGGGATTGGGAGGGCCCGAGTTTCTGAGAGCAGGGTCGTTCCATCTAAGGCTGGCTCTGGCCTCAGCTTATTTTCTCCTAAACAGCGTGTCCACAGCTGACTCCTCTGTTGTAGGGGTGCTTACTGACGGCAAGAAATCCAGCCCCCTGACTCCCTGTGGGCCCCTCCAGCCTCAGTTTCCCCATCTGTCAGCAGGGGACTGGATGGGGCCTGGGTCTCTGCAGGCCTGCACACTTGCCTCCAGCATCTCTCTAGGCCTCCCATCATGCTGAGGGGCTGATCCTGCAAAGGACCACAGGGCCTCTCCCCTGCAGGCCTGTTCACCGCCTCCTGGTGACAGCGTACCCTGCCCTCCTGGGCACCCTCACCTGTCGCAGGGGCTCCAGCGATCCCTCAGCCTCCTGGCACCTGTGCTGCAAGTTGGTGAGCTGCTCCTCCAGCAGCTTCCCCTTCTTGGCCAGGCCTTGATTGTGCCTCCTGCTCTCATCAAGGGCCTGGTGCAGCATGTCCAGTTGCTCCTGGGGGAAGGAGACACAGGGCCCACCTGGAGACAGTGGGGGTGGGAGGCCCTGCAGTGAAACCCTCACCTCAGGGCATCTGCCTAGACTGTCTGGCAGGACCGTATCACTGGGATGAAAACAGCAAGAACGTGGTTAAGAACAACTTGAAGTGTGTTGATCAGGTGGTTGTGTTTGCAACGTAAGTCAAAGGTGTGGACCCCCAGGAAGCCTGAGATGAAAGTCCTGGGGGTCTGGTCCAGCATGGGCAAAGGTTCAGGCTTGGCAGGTTCTCTGCTGCAGCCAGTGGTCTCAGAGGGCACATCAGTGGCATCCCTGCCCTGCTTCCAGCTTTGGTGACTCCTACTGCCCTTGGGATAAAGCCTGAGGTGACCCTCCCCAAGGCTCCTGGAGCGTGTTTGGCTCAGGCCCTGCTTGCCCCTTCTGGCATTACACGGTGTGTTCTCCTGCTTCAGCTCCCACCTGGGGACATGGCTAGTCCCATACTGAGCTCAGGAGCTCCCCTTCTGGCATTACACGGTGTGTTCTCCTGCTTCAGCTCCCACCTGGGGACATGGCTAGTCCCA